TACAGAACCATACCAAACAGACAACCATTCCAAACAGACAACCACTAGATACAGAACCATACCAAACAGACAACCACTAGATACAGAACAATGACAAACAGACAACGACTAGATACAAAACACTTTCTTGGCGGCAAATTGGGTGGCATATTAGTGAATGTGTTTCTATGTCACTTCCAAGACTTCGGTTGGAATCACAACTTATAAATACATGAGCATGCGTTCCTGATGTTCCCCACCGTGCTGTTGTTGTAAATATCGCAAGTGAGCAAGTGGATTTTGAACTCCATTATAACAAAAGTCCAGCATGGTAAATTAATGTCAGAGGAAAGGCCATTTGGAAAGTATCATAAATGTATAACCAGTTTGGTGACAACGAAACTAATATCTATGTGGCATGAGTAAGTAATCTGTTTCAGCGCCACAGACGATTTGTCATCTGTGTGCTGGAATTGTCCTGTAAGGGAGATTATGCTTTGTATTCTAGTGTTTAAAGTGTTCGCTCGTCACGCTGAAGGCCCGGGTTCGATTCTCCACATGGGTTCAGTGTGTGAAGCCCATTTCTGGTGTGCCCCGCCGTGATATTGCTGGAATATGGCTCAAAGCGGCGTAAAACCCAACTCACTCACTCATAATTGTATTCGGATATAACTTGAATTCTTGGAAAACAGTTATCTAAGTTACTTGTTGATGCATCTACGTTGTACAAACAAACGGCTACAAATCACCCTCTATGAAAGCATCATCTGTGAAGGCAGCCCCTGTGAAACCACCCTTTAAAACCTACAGGAACCCAATAGCGCCCGGAGTACATCGGCACAATAGCGCCCGGAGTAGATCGACACAATAGCGCCCGGAAGTACATCGGCACAATTCATCGACACAATAGCGCCCGGAGTACATCGGCACAATGGGAGTAATCGGCACAATAGCGCCCGGAGTACATCGGCACAATAGCGCCCGGAGTAGATCGGCACAATTCCAGCGTTTCACAACATGCGTTTTGAGCATGATTTTTCCCGCAATGGTACACCCTTGTCACAGCTGTCGAGAAACAGAATGCCACAAGGTGAGAATTGAACCCGGAGTGAACGCTTCAACCAGTGGGCCAACCGTGATACATGATAGTGCATAAGATAACATGCTCGTCTTTGACGCTGTCATTGAGAATCGTGTTTGGTTAGATGTAGAACCGTGATACCTTTAATGGGCTCAATGTGAAATATATTTACAACAGTAACCACATGAACCCCCTATCTCAAACCACACGATAGGGGGTACACTGAGGTCAAAACACCAGATACATTGGTCTGATTCACAGGACATTGAACTTCCTTGATCGAACACACCTAAGTTAAATATAACTTGAAATCTAAATACATGAACTACCCATGGCATTGGGTTTCGTCGGCCGATCAGGTCACGCATACATTTTGCATAACTGTTGTAATCATTGTATTTTTGTTCATTTATTCGCGGGTGCAAATTTTCACGGTTGAATCCGTAAAGCATAAAAAAAGTGGAAATATGTTGTTGGTTTGTTTTTGTTTCTTCGTTTTAATTTCACGGTTTGTTTGTTTTTCAAATAATCATGTCCCGCGAAATTAGTGTTTGTGAATACAAATTATGCTATGAGCCCCACGTTATGCATTGCGTGCACACGGCGCTCGTTCAATTCAGGGGCGATGGGGTAGCTTAGTGGTTAAAGCGTTCGCTCGTCACGCCGACGGCCCGGGTTCGATTCCCCACATGGGTACAATGTGTGAGGCCCATTTCTGGTGTCCCCGCCGTCATATTGCTGGAATATTGCTAAAAGCGGCGTAAAACTAAACTCACACACTCATTCAATTCAGGCTCTCTTGCAGGCAGTGAGTGAATATTACTAAACGCCGCATCAGCAGTTTGGCAGCTATTCGCAGTGACAGCAATTTAGTAACCTTATTGATCCAATGAATAGATGACTCAAGACTTATAGTACTTTTCTAATCATTAGTTTTATTAGTACAAGATGTAAATAACAAATAAATGAAATATAAAGATCGGGATTTACAACGGGACATGCAACATAAAATATGCATAAAATAATTTTTTATATCGGTATGATTATGATGAGTATATTCCTCATCCTCTTGCAGCATCTACACATGTTTACATAGAATACAAACAATCATTATCATCTCCACACGGCTGAGACACTGACTTCCACATGTTCCATATCAACTCACTTTCATCAATAATTATAGCATTACATAGCGGTGTAAACATACTATCAAACATTTTAAAATATGAGACAAAATCAGTTATTATCATAATGCAAACAAATATACATTTTCATCGTGAGGTTTTTCATTTCAATCAATTTTCTATAAAAATAACATCAACAGTTCTTGGGGAACACTAGTCAGTGGGTATGGTCGGACACCGTTTTAGCCATATACCAGCCATGTCATGGCGGGGACACCAAAATTCAATCCCTGTACACATGTGGGAATCGAACCCGGGTCTTCGGTGCGACGGGCGAACGCTTTAACCACTAGGCCACCCTCAGTCCCTGTCGCCATATAGCTGTTCAAAATATTGCTGAGTGCGGCGTACAACTAAACTCACTCACTCACCCCACAACCCCTCTTGGGGTAAGAACGATAACTGATGCTCTCACATCTCTCACTACAACAGAACCATACAACAATACAACTTCATGCAGTGAAATAATACAACATGTACATGTATTTTCTTCTGTCGTATTTGAACATGAAATCAATATTACTGCGCTTTAAGAGAGTTTAAAAGATACCGAAAGCTTCGACTAATACTGGTGTAAAACAGTCCGAAATACCGCGTTGTTGACTTTCATATTGATGTCACTATTCAACCGTTATGCTGAATCATGGCATTCTCTATAAATTGTTAACCAGGTTAAAACGATTTCATACTTTTGCGATTAAATACCGTTCGTTTCCGAATAGTTTTGATGTCATAGTTTCTGATTACGTTATTTGTGATACAAATATGTTTTTGTTTTGAGAGAAATATATGAGTTATTACGCCAGTAGTAGATAATAACAATTGGCGCTTTATAATGGTGGAACCTATCCCTATCAGCCGCTGATGTTACAATATCGATCTGCAAAGTTTGATTAGTCTATTGATAAATTATTTTTGAATATTATAGTTTCCGAGTATAAATAAACAAAACAAACATGTTATTGAAGGTAGTACTTGATGCGTGTGCGTGTGCATGTGTACACGCGTGTGTGCTTAAGAGTATGCATGGCCGTATGTCTAACACTGTTAGAGCGAAGAGAATGGTTAAATGATATACACGTTTGTTCAGTGAACTGATACAAACACTAAGCTCAGATTGTTCGTAGCGCACCACAATTCTAAGTTTTGATGGATTTCCATTAAAACACGGAAGCAACAAAAAACATTCAAAACAGCAACTAAAAGATACAGGCCAGTGTAATATCCCGGGTAACGTACGCGTATCTATGTCTCAACGTAGCGTACATCCTGGTTGAAACAAGGATGGTTATTTGATTTATAGCACATGTGTTAGGCCCACACACGGTGAACAGCAGCTTCCCTCGTGATAGCGCAAGGGAGACAACTCCTGTAGCCCTCGTCGTCATATTTTGTAAACAAGACACTTGGGGCTCAACGAGGTTGTTACACTAAAAGTGTTTCCCCAAAATACTTGAAAATTGAAAATAACACATATATACTTCACTTCAATAACCTTCTGAAGAAACCGTACCCATTCGTTCCATTATTTCCCACGCCTAAAGTATTCACCGAAGTAGTTGACTGAGACATTCAATACATCTTATGGCTTGTGTCAACTTCATTATGGCGTCATCCTATTCACAGTCCACTTCACACGTCTGGTATTCCATTTTGGAGGATCTAGTTCAATCCAGTTCAATCTGGTTTCGTGTCACAATAACTAATCCCAACAAGGCACTTCTGGATCTTAACCAGATTACACTTGACGCAGAACTTCTTAACGGGAGACCCAGGTTAGGTCATGTGGAAGTCCTAGATAACTGGCTTGTACTATATAAAACCAAGCCGTTTGTCTGCAAACTCAACTTCTACACGGAATCATATGTAACAGTAATATTCTCCCGTGAAACCCCTGTTAGAAATTGTCTTCAGGAACCCATGCATGTCATAAGAGGCTATAAGAAAATTTGGCGGTCAAATTTGCTAACTTATTGAGGCATTGACGACTTATTGATGTCAATACACTAAACTACGGTTATAACGAACTGCGGTTATAACGAATTCAAAGGGAGCACTGATAGTAGTTCGTTATAACCGTAGTTCGTTATACGCATTTCGGCTAACATGTACAAGTGACCGGGGCTCAAAAAAATGTTCGAATTGTCCAAACGTTCGTTATAAACATGTTCGTTAGAAACGTAGTTTACTTGATTGTCTGGTCAACACTCGATTATTTGCAGACCGCCCGCATGTAGTAGGAATATTTTTAGTGAGGCGTTAAACGTCAATTAGTTACTGAATCCTGACATACTTAGTTACTAATATACTGACAATGACTTAGTTTGGTACAAGGTATTTATCAACACGCATAATCCCAGCACGAAACTGTCACTATAGTCTTCCTTTAATTAATCTATAACTTCTTTGAGTGGCATTTTAGAAGTTGGGAAGTACAAACTTGCTTGACAACGGTACAAGAATCTGTATCGAAACGTCGCACTCACGGATACAAAGAAGTTGTTATCCATGAAGTGTGTTCTATATTGTAATTAATCTATGTAAACATTTCGCCAATGGTCTGTACTTACTTCTAGAAAGTTACATATTACATTATCACGTCTGCTTGATCATGAACAGAACTCGCGAGGCACTCGGTGAGCTGGCATTGTTTGAACTTGTTTGAGAGGCAAGTTTGCAGACCATTCGAAGCGCAGAGCTTTGCAGAGAGTATCCCAGTCAAAATCCATGTGATTCCATGGATGTAATATCGTTTGTGTAGACCATTCGAAGCCCAGACCTCTGCAGAAAGTGTCCCAGTTAAAATCGGTGTGGTAGCTGAAAAGGCGTTTTTGTAGACCATTCAAAACGCGGACTTCTGCAGAGAGTACCCCAGTTAAGATGCCAGTCAGAATAAACATCCGTATTGCCACATGCCACGAGCATTATGGCGTTGATGTAGTCACGTGTCACGTTTTCGTCTGGGTGTTTATGTTCCTCCATATTCCTATATAAATAATGTAACCTAGCAACAGAATCACTGCCCCAGCAATGACCCAGCACAGCGAACGGTAGAACTTGCGTCGACAGTCATTCTGTTGGTATGGTCGGATGCTGGTTTGATTCTGGGAAAATTAAAAGAAAAGATTCAGTACCTCAACATCGCTAAAAAACATCGGCTATATATTAACGTCATTTACATTTGAATAGTTAAAAGGTGGATTTCAGGATTGCCTGTGTTATTTGCAACAAGAGCAACAGTGACCAAACGTCTGCTTTTTTCATCCTTATAATATCCATAAAATGATTATAATTTGGTTTAAGCTTATCATTTCTGTCCTACAAATGTACCAAAGATGCGTTTTCCGTTTCAGTCTTACAAATGGCCTAAATATAACGTGATTGTTTCAGTCCTACAAATGGCCTAAAGGTAACGTGATTGTTTCAGTCCTGCAAATGGCCTAAAGATATCGTGATTGTTTCAGTCCTGCAAATGGCCTAAAGATAACGTGATTGTTTCAGTCCTGCAAATGGCCTAAAGATAACGTGATTGTTTCAGTCCTGCAAACGGCCTAAAGATAACGTGATTGTTTCAGTCCTGCAAATGGCCTACAGATAATGTGATTGTTTCAGTCCTGCAAACGGCCTAAAGATAACGTGATTGTTTCAGTCCTGCAAACGGCCTAAAGATAACGTGATTGTTTCAGTCCTGCAAACGGCCTAAAGATAACGTGATTGTTTCAGTCCTGCAAATGGCCTAAAGATAACGTGATTGTTTCAGTCTTACAAACGGCCTAAAGATAACGTGATTGTTTCAGTCCTGCAAATGGCCTAAAGATAACGTGATTGTTTCAGTCCTACAAATGGCCTAAAGATAACGTGATTGTTTCAGTCCTACAGATGGCCTAAAGATAACGTGATTGTTTCAGTCCTGCAAACGGCCTAAAGATAACGTGATTGTTTCAGTCCTACAAACGCCTAAAGGAAAGGTCAAAAGAACATGAGTGGGTGTGAGAGAGCTGCGTATCACGCCGTTGTTGTCAGTATTTCACTTATATCACTGTGTACCAGTGTAATGTGGATTAAAAACCTGAAGTAAACAGATATTAGGCAGGAAATTATTTGTTGAACCCGTCAAGCACTGATATGATGCCAAAATCCAATTGTGGCAAGTATGATCCGGGGCCAAGATCATAGGTCATGGTCAAAACCCTGCGCTGTGAATTACTCCTGACACGGTTAACACAGCCTGAACACCCGTGTCCAAACAAGTGTTCTCATATTGTGCCAGAATTGTGACTACAGTGCAATTCAGAAGCTGCCGGTTTACAGGGGGGTTGTTTATACAGGTTTGCAGTGCACGTAAAGCAGCGGTTAATGGTCTCACCGGCGGATACGTGGGGACCACCACGTTAGGAGGAAGAGGCGTGGTGAAGTTTTGTTCTAGATGATCAACTCTGGGATCCGATAATGACTGCTCATATGTAGGGGGCTCGCCAGAACTCTTGACAGCGTCTTCATACGACGGTAACGTAAAGATGGTGAAAACCTGCGGTGAAGGGAGATCGGAAGTTGGAGTGCCTGAGGTCATTTTCTGAAACAGTGAGAGAGTGGGTGTGTTGATAGCGAGAACAGATTACCACCATGTCATAAATATGAGACGTCAATACTAGGTAATATATCAGCAAGATTCGATTGTCTGACTGACTCCATCGGGTATGCAAAGCGGACCAAAAATTCCATATTTGTTTGTTGTTTAACTCCGCACTCAGCAATATTCCAGTTATATGGCACCTGTGTGTAAATAATCTGGTTTGAACCAGACAATCCAGTGATCAAACATCCTGAGCGCATCTATCTAAACAATAGATGTCATGTCATAGATGACATGTGTCAACCAAGTCAGCGAGCCTGACCACCCGATCCCGTTAGTTGCCTCCGACGACAAGTATGGGTTGCTGTAATCGTGATCTTCGCGGTTTGAGAAAGTATATGAATGGATCACTGAAAATAACTGTTTGATATTATGCAAAGCCTTCATATGGGCATTACTACGTTAATTGTTTGATCAAAGAACTAGGTATGAGTTACAGCTGCCAAAAACATTCATCCTGGTAGTATCTCCTGGCTTGGCTCTTTAACGTGAAGACACATGTCGATTACTCTTACGGCGCGCTTAGGCTGGATTTACACTACGTCCGCATTTTTTGACGCATGCGTTACCGAGTGCGTTTTTTCCAATACACTAGGTGCGATCATCTGCGATATAAGACGGATGAATATCAGATGGAGGAAAAATCCTAGTAGTTTCTGTGCATGAGGAAGAGAACAGAACACGGAGATGCTGGGTACATCCCTTAAACCAACAAAGATTACTTGAAAGAGCATATAATCGTCTTATAAGGGAATTATTAGGGAATTAAATAACATCAATCTTTTATATATATAATGTGTTTTCGAAAATACTGAACTAAAAGTATGTAGAAAATATTTACTTTCATACCAACATTGTTCTCTCATACACTCAGGCATTACAAATTCCACATATATAGAATTTGAGCAGTACTGACTTCCCTGGGGAACATAGTTCTGAGGGTTCTGTTGGCGTGAACCAAATTGAGCCTCATGAAATATCTGGGCAATTTTATATTTCATAAGACTTTTATAAGCATCTTGAAGAAGCTTGTTCTGAGAATGAAATTTATCAAAGGTTTGTCATATTATTGTATATGTTATGCACAGACAGGCGCAGAAACACATTATAAATAATGTCTCATCAAAAACACAGCCTGTGTGCAATTGGAATCGCGTATTTTTATCGAAAGATGAGGAAATAACCTTACCTGATTGACAACGTGTTGGGGAATACCTAATTGGAATGACGTCATCAGGGGAATTCCTCATGCGAGTTCATTTGCGTTGCGTCAAAAATAGGAGGCCTACCTATCTAAATCGCTTCGGATCGCAACGCATGCAAAATTCGCACCTAGTGTACTGTCTAAATGGAAAATGGACTGCTTGCGTTTTTTCGGACGCAACGCATGACGCAACGCAGAGAAAATCGGACGTAGTGTAAATCCAGCCTAAATAGCAATATTCCAGCAATATCACGGCGGGGAACACCAGAAATGGGCTTCACACATTGTGCCCATGTGGGGAATCGAACCCGGCGTGACGAGTAAACGCTTTAACCACTGTGCTACCCCACCGCACCAGGTTTAACTTAAGCTTCCGGTATTACGATGATCTGTTATCGTTAAATAGCAATCAAATAGCCTATACCTTTCCACTGATAAACTCACGCAACCTGAAATAGAGGACACCAGTGAGTCTGGTTCACGTGTTTCGTATTTATATCTATACATAAAAATGCACCACAAGCTCTTTCATGACAAAAGGGATTACAAAGACTTTCTCTTTATGTCGAGCAATATTCCAACAGCTCCAGCCTTTGGTGTTTACATTTCCCAACCTTTCAGGTGCAACCGAGCATCAAACATTTTTCCATCATGATATTGAAAAACGTCATTGAAGGTGTACGATGAAGGATACATTCAAGGCATCAGTTTAAGCTTTCAAAACATTATATGGTAGATATGTCGGCATTTCCAAGTTTAACGCATCAATGATAAAAATGATGCCCTATGCAATCCCAACTTTGACTTATATCGTACGTTCCCATGTTTTCCAGGTGAACAACAGACTAGTCTCTGTATTTGCCAATGAAGGATGCCACGGCGGGGCAACAAGATACGCTACGCTTTTCGCGAACATCTGCTTCTCATGAAGTGAGTTTAGGATGGATCTTTGTAAAATTTGACAGGCAAATGTGAAATCATCTCTGCTCTGCGCACATAATTTCAGTTCAAATTTCCAAACACTATGTAACTAATGACATCACATTTATCAACTTACGTATGGTTCCACAATGCACAATCCCATAGGCCTCCATGTTAAAGGAGTTCACGGCACTGTACATACGTTGATTAACTTGTCGCCATTCGATAAATAAGCAACGGAAAATTAAACAGAAATTAGATGAATCATCACAAATGTGCAAAATTTGACTTGGATCTTACGAAAATTAAATTCATGAAAATTATTTATGCTACACTAAATTAGCATGTAGGTGTATGGAAATTACGTCAAGTGTCCGAACATTTCTGGCACGAGTCTGCATAATAATTATTTAATAGTGATTCATTTACAAAGAATTGGAAAGGATTATTCGGTTAAAGTTTCAAGTGAAATATTTACAGTTGAATCGTGAAATGTTACTTGTGTCATTGATGTGGTGCTCAGCCATTGTGTCCGGGTGAGATATTCTAGTTTACTTCGTAATGTAAACGCCATTTTTCTTGTTTGACTCAAAGTACCTAGTAATCCACATGTTCAATGAATCGAATTATTCGAATATAAATAATACAAATTTCTATCAGAACATAAATCTCAGCCGTGTTCTCTACAACAGCCCGGGGCGGTGGGGTAGCCTAGTGGTTAAGGCGTTCGCTCGTCACGCCGAAGACCCAGGTTCGATTCCCAACATGGGTGCAATGTGTGAAGCCCATTTCTGGTGTCCCCCGCCGTGATATTGCTGGAATATTGCTAAAAGCGGCGTAAAACCATATTCACTCACTCACTATAACAGTCCCCTTTCCATTCGTTTGTTATTTAACGCCGCACTCCGCAATATTCAGACTAGCTGTCTGTACACAGTTGAACCTGGAGAGACAATATAGTGACTAATGGCATGAGCATCGATCTACGTATCATGTTACGATGGCATGCATCAGCAAAGTGACATTACCAGTGTAGCGTAACCAGCTATCGATTATTATGCCCGTTATGAGAATATTAATGAATATAAATCAATATTAGAGGAAGTAAACATTGATCTTTTCGACAACTTCATGTTTTGAACTAATTACAGAACTTACACGTTTGTATTGAGGCCTCAATACATCATGTAAATTCATTGTGTTTGTAGAGATACGATGTTAAAAATATGCGTGAATGGTGAGAGACGACATTGCGTAAATACCATACCATACTACAGATGAGCACCTTCAAATACATGATTTTTATAAATATGATTTTGTATATACCATTATACACATACTGTAAAGAAACGCTTGTTGACTGACGGGGTGATTTGCAACGTCGTTATCATAAATGGGATGTCTGACATATAGTTCGTGAAATCTCCGAGGACGAGCTGGAGACTGAAATCACAAGGATATAACTTTCCAACGTCACTCATCCGTTATGAAGAAGACCAGAAAGAAAGCATTCTTTCGCTGAGGGTATTTCTGGGTCTCGTGCACCTATAGAAGACGAACTGTAACAGCATCCATCGCCATGCATCCATTCATTCATATTGTGCCATTGCATTTATTCATATTTTGCCATTGCGAAATAACAGACCCACTTTAGCAAGCCTTGATTCGCAAGCTAACAGGCTCGACTAGAGCTAGTATCTGAATTAATAATTTGATAGTAACCCATTTGAATTGAAAAGGAGCCCAGTAAGTGGGAAATTCAGAACCTGAGGGAATCTAGACTTGCTAAATTTAGACTTTAGAATTGCGAGGAGGGCTAGGCAGTCGGAAAAAGAATGGTCAAGGACTGTGAGACAGATTAGGTTAAAGGCACTGTATACCTGTAGACTTTATAAAAACTATTCTCTCTCTCTCTCTCTCTCTCTCTCTCTCTCTCTCTATCTCTCTATATATATATATATATATATATATATATATATATCGTAATATTGCTTAAATATTCCTAAATTGGGGGTAAACCCACTCACTCACTCACGCACGCACCCGCCGCGATATATTGCTGGAATATTCTAAATAGCTCACTGCCTAAGTGATTATTATTGAGTAGATATACAACACGTGTTACATATCATGTCAACACATTACTTTTCAACGAACCTTTAACGATTTATGAAAATGTATACGCCAAATGTTACAAGCGCCACAGTAACACACGGCGTTGCGGAATCATCAAATGAAACGTCCATACCTGTAACACGCATGTTTCACAATTGCTAAGATAAGCAACAATCTAATATCATGTTGACTCGCCTAGGCATTGCATGGGGAAATAAAATGCAACTAAAGGAGTCCCATATATGTCCTCAAGAGCATCGTAAATCTTATAGTTAGTCACAGCAGATCAAGCAGCAACGAAATGACTAAAATAGTCTTGTCAATGGCATATGGGGTATCTTTTACAAGATCAACAACATAGCGAATGAAAGAACGCACGTTCTATCTGTCTCTTTTGTAAGACTTTGGATTCACTAGTCATGATACACGCACGAAATTATGTAAAGAATACACGCAAGTACAAACGACAAACTTATGTAAACTCTGAAGGATTAAATTCCCGCAAACCTCAAGAGAAAAATATTTTCTATACCTACTATTATCCATTAAGAAATGTCTCAGCATCCAGAATATAGAATATCTCTCGCGTTTTCCATGGTATATACGTGGTATTCCATTGCTCAACAGGGTTTAACAGACCTGCCACGTGTTATAAAATGTAACTCGGTAACTTGTAACATTAACTGGGTCTGCAGTTCATAAACAACATTCGTCAAAACAATGACAGATCTTGTCAATAGCGGTAACTAGGTCAGCACTGGATATCAAACACATCATGAATCTGAATACGTGATGCAAAATTGTAGAATCTGGCTGTGTGGAAATCGCATAAATCTGTTGATATAAGGTCAAATCTGTTGAAACAAGGTCACAACAACTGTAAATTGTATACAAAATATTGCAGGCAGGGAAATACAACGCAGGTGTTTTGCATCGTTAAACTCTAGAATACTGACAATGTATTCGTCATCATGTTTCGTAAGATGTTATTTACCTCAAGTTACGAATAATTGGCACTGTTGAATATTGCAAGTCACGAGTGAGAACATGTGACGCACGAACTCACCACCTTGTGTGTAGAACGAGTCACTTCCGTCCTATCAGTAGGTGTACGACGCGGGGGTATCATCCGTCCTTATCTTTTTAGCCATGGTTCCTACATTTTCGATGCCGCGTCAACATGCGTGGACGGCGATGTCTGTGACGGTGTATATCGTCACAGCTACCGAGGACAACACAGATACTAGTCACGGGTGTGGCGTGTCGCCTTCAGCCGGCGGACGAGTCAATACTTATGGATTTATCTGGAGCGTGTGGTTGTCGCTATTGTATTTATACCCAGTCTCGCGAGTCACGTGTGATCAGCTACCGTGAACAGACGTTGTGTTATATACACATTTTGTTTACCTGTCTATTTATAGGATGTTCTGGATTTTTGCAGTGTCACTTAGGGAACAAGTGTCTATTATTCAGTGGACGTATGGGATTTTTGTGTGATGGGGTGAACTTTTTCTTTCGGTTATCGCTACAAATTATTCATGTTTTTCTATGTTGAAACCATGGCACCCTGTCTTCCAGAACGGTATGCCCAGTGAACAGTTTATATTTTTTGTGCATCCCGAGGCACAATAACACCTGTAGCAGTGCATCACAGTATAAAATATGAATGTCTGCTTTATTGATCGTGTATTCACAGGTTTCAGGCGAGAATTCATTCAAGACAGACTTGTAGAACACACAATCCTATTTCAGTTAGTTGATGAGTAATTGCATCCATCTTGTAATTGATTTGTTTATGCTAATGCTATTAATAGCAGCTCCCTCTTATTGATTGCGACATAACCCCCACATAACTGCTCTTATATCTGAACAGTTGGTTGCTAGGATTTTTAAAAGTGTTATTATCAAACTGGTCGATATTAACACAAGGAACAATGGTTTTAGAATCGTGCAACCGTAACTCCTTGTCAAGAGCTTGTAAATAATGGCATCTTTGACGGCATTGTCATTGATCACTAAGCATTGTTTCCTAGCTGTGCATAGGTCTGCGGGCAGTGACGGGTGTCTCATGTCTCATTTACATCTATTATGTAAAGACGCTAGACTAACATACTTCTCCATGAACACGCTTGACCTGGTAATCATAAAGGCACGTGAGTGAGTGAGTGAGTGAGTGAGTGCCTATTTAGGAATATTCCAGCAATATCACGGCGGGTCATATACTTATGTGAAGTAGCATATACATGTAAGAAATGTGCGTGCGTGCGTGCGTGCGTGCGTGCGTGCGTGCGTGCGTGCGTGCGTGCGTGCGTGCGTAAAACATCCATTTGCAGATAAACCACAGTAATGTGAAGAATCCATATCTTTTCTGTTGGGACATATCAACCCAAAAGTATTCGTTGAACTGAAAACTAATATTCCTCTTAGACATTGTATGTTTTTAATTTGAAAAACGTAATGCAGAACTAACACATATTGTCATTGAAAATGATGCAATGAACAAGTTTCTTATCTTGGTGCTGTCAATGACCCAAGCCTTATTTCTCAGGATTTACTTGAAGACATTATATACCATCTTGGTTCAAGAACATGCATGCCCACTTTCCGAAAAATCACTCGGTTCAGTTACATCACTGTGTTGGTAGCTGATTGTGTAAAGTGACAGCTGCGTGTTTGTTATGACTGTATATGTCACGTATGGACAAGATTCTGTGTGAACTGTGTGATCTCTGTTCCAGTTACATAACGGCGTGGCAACGTAATGTGGGATTCAAAAACATGTGAGTGAGTGAGTGAGTGAGTTTAGTTTTACGCCGCACCCAGCAATATTCCAGCTATATAGCGGCGGCCTGTAAATCGAGTCTGGACCAGACAATCCAGTGACCAACAGCATGAGCATCGATCTACGTAGTAGGGATACGATGACATGTGTCAACCAAGTCAGCGAGCCTGACCACCCGATCCCGTTAGTCGCCTCTTACGACAAGCCTGGGTTACTGAAGATCAGTTCTAACCCGGGTCCTCACGGGTTGAAAAAGTCGAAAGTGATGCCGATCTGAGATGTTGACCACTTGGTGAAATCCACAAGCACGAATATGGTGTTGGCCAACCTAGAAACAAACCACTTCAACAAATCTTTATTACCTGAGGAGGCCACAGGCCCATGTACATATCACTATATATATATTACTATACATATTATCATATATATTCCAGACAGGTATGAAGGCGTGAAATAAACAAAGGAAACAATTTCTTAAACTACATATCAGTTACCTGTCTACCTGCAAAGATGACCTTACACCCCCAATAAAATATGTTAGCATCATATATATGTATAGCTGGACTGAAATCTTTAGAATTTTATTACCGGAATTCGAACTTACCATCACAGGTGTCTCGCGTGCCCAAGTGACGGGAGCGCCCTAAACAGTAAATATACCACTCACACTTTGCTAAGGGTCACAAAACTTCACAACAAAAATTCCTTTCTTTAGGCAAACAGTCACTTTAATCTAACCTTATGCACTTGATACATGAATAACCATCAAAATGGTTTTCATGGCACCAATCAACCATTTTGCAAATCATTGAACGAGTCATTGATCATGACAAGTACACCTGTCAATAGCAGGTATGGGTTCCACAAGATGAAATGACATACTGAAACCTAGGATCCATGCTTACAATAGATATTTGAACCACATTTGACCCCACATCATAGTTTTCTGTTGAACCCATGATTTGATCCTTAGCAAAGTGTGAATAGTATATACGATTACTAAGATTGATGAGATATGTGGTTTATGAACGTGTACCACATTGAATTATCCTACTCAAAGATGTGTCAGGTTCATACAACACTGACAGGTTTACAACCTCTATCTCCAGACCTGAAATGAAAGCTCACTTTCATTGCCCGGTACTTGAATTTAAATAATGTTGCGCCTACGGCTAATGATGCAAAGAAACCACAGCTTACTATGAAACCATATCTGCTTGTTTGTTGTTTACGCCGAACAAAGCAATTTTTAAACTACACGAAGACGGTCTGTAAATAGTCCAGTCTGGACCAGACAATGCAGTGATTGACATCTGGATCTTCGATTGGGATACGATTACACGCCTGACAAGGGATCCTGACCACCCAATCTCGGATCTTCACGTGTCACGAAATCTTTTAATCCAGTAGGTGTAGCGGATTGTTTGATGAACTCAAGGTACAGGGTACACTTTGAACCGCTCCATGTCTTTGTTGAATATTGCATTAATGTATTTGAAACTGAAACACAACACATTCATCTGTATGTCTCTCCCGTTTTTGGAAATTATTTTCCAGCTAAACATAAGTACACTTATGTGTGTCACTTGTTTGTGTAACTGATCAGCCTTGACCCTGGGGTCTCATGACAATTTCAAGTTTCATTTTTTAACGGCGTTGTGAATTTATGGTATGTGTACCACGTGACGTACTTGCCTGAGGGACCAGTCATTAAAGTTATTCTGTTAGAGGCTGGGGGGTACACGAAATCTCTACTTAATTAGAGTCTATCGTATGATTACGACTTTATCATTGTCATGTCTTTCTGAATCACTTTCACACGCATGCAAAGTAACGATACGCCACAAACACTTGCAAAGGCAAGGCAAGTGTTCACATGAAAACACACGGTAACATTTGGTACAAGTGAAAATGGGAAATAACAGAAAAAACTTGCAATATCTTTTTGTTACCAATGCGTCAGATTTGGATATAACCTCTATGTTAATTTGTTCAAAGCTTGGAGATTTGACAGTGTGTGGTATAACTCCTTGTATCCTTTGAAAGATGTGGCCTCTTGCATATTCCTCCTCTTCCCCATCCTTGATACATTGTCTGTCGACGCTCTGTGTCACTTTCTATGCATCCGTCAAGGGGACATAACCACATGAAAACAACTACTGAATTAACTTGTAAACGACGAATCCAGTCACTATTACGATAACACAGCACACGATCGGGCAGAGAGAGCGATAGACTTTCCTGCGCCAGTCTTCCCGGAGGACTCGAGGCCGATTTAATGCGTTCTGAAAAAGGAAGTTGCATCAGAAACAATGCAATGCTATGACATGCACCAATCGAGTCAGCGAGCCTGACCACCCGACCCAGTTAGTCAGCTCGAACGACAAGCATGGGTTTCTGGAGATCAATTCTAACCTGGATATTCAAAATGCCTCGTATCATGTAAACGAAAGAAAGTTACACACCAGAGCCTAGATTTTCGAAGCTCTCTTAGAGCTAAGATAGTCGTAAGTTAATGTTAAGGTATGGCACTTACGACTATCTTAGCGCTAAGAGAGCTTCGAAAATCTAGGCCCAGATGATTTTGGATTATTCACAAACATTTTGTTGACAGAACAATCACAGATATCGTACCCAGTTGTACCCTTACCAGTCTCTCGCTTCCAAACACTTTTCAATATATTTACGTCGTTTCTTGGAAAATAAGTGGGGTGAGTACTTTCTTTTGTACGTCAGTATATTACCTCTCTCGCTCGCTCCAAAGGTCATTGGCCTCCAGTTTAACACTATTTTTACCAAGTTATTTTCCCTTTATTTCCCACATGAATAGATGTATAACTAAGATAATTAATATATTGAAAATCATGTAGAACGTATTAGCGATTTCATGACTGATCAACACGCCGATATTTATGTCAATACAACGACAGAAGAACGTTCCAAGACAAATCAATACATGGAAAGGATCAATACAGACAGAGTGAAAATATTTACGAAAGAAAATAAATAAAGGAAACCTTACGGTGGACATGCGCTACACCGCAAGGGAAGAATCCGGGACTGTCCCTTATCTGTCTCAAAGACCCTATGCAAGAGGATATATTCAAAAGGAGTCCAACTGAAGTATAAGTGGTTGGGCAATTGTAGATTGCTAAAGCTATGGAAATAAATAACTGTTCTTGGCTTCTTTTGGATAATAAATTTTATTAGTAGTAATTTGTTTTGTAGATCTATGTTTTTCAATCAGATAACTGTATTTCAAGGACAAAATGCCAGTCTACCTTGATCCCTTCCTGAGGCAATGAACTGATGACCTGATGAACTGACCGTTATAGTTTAAGGTTACTTTTTCATTTCATAATGGAAGGTATGCTTGTAGTAAAAAATTCTATTTTATAATATAATGTCGGTTTTATTCTTTAGTTTTTTTATTTTCATGATGTTGACAGATTATATATTTTTGAAAAGCTTACGAAGAGTGCTTTCGTTTGGTATGCTGCTTCAAGCGAAAGAAAAGCAAAACAAGCGTATCAT